CAAAATGTCCTATGAAGCAATCTGTTGGTTTCAAAATAAGCAAAATTCTTACTTTACAGATCATTTATTACACCCTTAAAAGAGGTTTTTGCTAAAAGGTAGGAAGATAAATTATAAATATGAAGAGTATATATATATATATATACACACACACACACATATATATATTTCATCCAGATAATTCCACATGCTGTTCTCCTGTCTCTCCTTCCTGCCACTGCCAAATAAATCTACAAAATGTTTTGGGTTATTTTTTCCCCTACCCCAATTCCATTCTGTAATGGATTGTTCTAGATTTGGTTTTCATTTTTCTATTGACATCACCTTATTAAAAATCACCACTAGCTCATGCTGGTTGTTTTAGATATTCAGGAGGCTGGGACCTTGGGAGAGAAATGTGGTTCAAAGCCAACCTGGAGAGAAAACTTTGTAAGAATCATATCCAAGTAACCATCAAATGTCAGGCTGAAGGTATGGCTCAAATGGTGAGTGCTAGCCATGAGCAGGATAGTCTACTGAGAATATGAAACGGTGAATTTAAGCCCTGGTACTAGTGTGTATGTGTATGTGTATGTGTGTATGCATGTGCACTCATGTGCACATACATACACACATGTGCGTGCACACACACACATATACACACATACAGACACCACATAAAGTCATAGCTAATTTCTTCCAGTCCTCAATAACCTTAAAACATTTTAAGTGTCCTTTGTCATTACTGACTTTGATTATTTTTATCTCTTCTTTCTTTTAAATCCCATGATACCCAAATATTTTGCCCTTTCTTTCTATACTTCTGTAATCCACTGGCAAAATCTCTGTATTTTTTTCTTGTACTTTTCTCAGTGGGGTAATATATAATATGTTGTTATTCTTTCTTCTGCTTCTTCCCTCTCCTTTTCCATCTCTCCTTCTCTTCCTCCTCTTCTTTTCTTTTTTTTTTGGGGGGGGGGGGTAATCTGGGGTTTGATCTCACTCACATCACCCTTCCAGCTTTTTGCTGGTTAATTAGTATAAGAGTCTCATGGATTTTCCTGCTTAGGCTGGTTTCAAAATCATGGTCCTCAGATCTCAGTCTCCTGAGTAGCCAAGTTTCAGGCATGAGACATTGCTACCTGGCATCATTTAATACTTTAGAGTCATTTAATCTCAAAGTTAGTAAAATATTGAGATCTTACACCTAAAAAAAAAAAAAAAAAAAAAAAAAAACTACACTATTTCTACCAAAGAAATGTTAGCTACATGTAAATAATCTTTTTTTTTTCCATCGGTGGGGGGGCCTGAACTCTGGGCCTGGGCACTGTCCCTCAGCTCTTCAGCTTAAGGTTGGTGCTCTACCACTTGAGCCACAGTGCCACTTCTGGCTTTTTCTGCTTATGTGAGCTGAGGAATCAAACCCAGGACACCATATGCAAGGCAAGCACTCTACCACTGAGCCACCTTCCTAGCTCCTAATCTTTTTATTTTTAGTATAATACATAATGAATAGTAAATCAAATGTTTTTGAGAATCTTAATGCTTGATTCCATTTAAATAAAAATAAAGTTCGATTGCAATGCTTCTGTAGAAAGAGATAAATAGATGACCAGAGTCAGCCACGGTACAATGGAAAACCAAATTGCCTAATTCTTCAGGGACTAGCAGGGATTTCAATTTCAGAATGGGCAGCAGAATACCTAATTCACTGAGTTGTTCCACAATTAAAGAAATCACCAGGACTTCTCTTTGTCTAGCTTGTGACTACAGTTCACCACTAAAGTCTTTCTGATAGAGATTTAATATCCAAAAGTCACCTTTTTTTTTCAGTGTGGGGAGCGTTTCTCCACAAGTTTAATGCTTGGGATGAATCATATAAAAATCTCAGAAAGTAGAGTACTATAAATGTGTTTTACAGAGTCATTCACTCCAACAGAAAGTCTCTTCCATATATCAACCTTAAAGATTTGTATTCTACCATGTGTGTAAAATATTGGGTAGGATATGCCATTGGGAAAGCTAATCTGCAAGATATTTATGTGTCATATCTCTGAGGGGAGTTTATGTCAAGAAAAACAGAGACAACCTTATAATAAAGGACTCACACTTATTTCCAAAAAGCCAAAGTGCATCAGTGCCTGTGCCCCATAGGTGCCAGCTCCAGATGTGAGATAACGATTATTTGTAGCAACCCCTCCTTATTCAGCTTAAATGCTTCACTGCCATTCTCCCTCAGATACCAACTTCAAAGAAAATAAACAAGCTCCTCCATACCAGATCATGTCTATGCTAACTTACCACTTCTCAAAATCATAGAGCAGTAACATATCAAACTATGCATTATGCTTTAAAATCATATCCTAGCTTTGCCTCATATCTTAGGAAAATACACAGAGAAGAAGTGTGGGGAGGATATTCACCCTGCCCTGGAGTCTGGCCTTGTGTAGAAAAAAAACAAAAACCTAACCAATCAGCAATATTTGATATTCAATATCCAAAGTATTAATAAAGTCAAAGAGGAACCATTCACTGAATGAAACTAGTGACTAGGATTCTATCTTACTTCCTCCCCCAACTCCACTCTGTCAAGTATTACTCTGGGCAAGACTGAATCACACTGCTGAAATAAATTCAGACTCCAAGTTTTATCATTCACTTTGATCTCTGGGCTGCTATGAAACAGGTGAAAGTACCTTATTCCAGGAGTACAAAGATGAATAATTCAGATAGAGTATTAACAAATGTCAGTGATCTACAATGCACTGAATTTCTTAAAATATGAAGGCCTTTTTGAAAATAAAGACAACATTTTATGCATGCATTTTTAGAAACTTTAGTCAAGCAACTAGAATTTAAGAAGAAAAAAAAACCTCAAGTTATAAGAAAGGAAATCTTCATGTCTATTTGCTAAACACATGGATCCACCTTTCTCTGTGCTCTCTTGACCTTTGCTGACCCCCATTATCCTTCTGGAATGGCCCTCCTGCTCTTGTCACTGCCTTAAGTTTGACCCTAATTACCTTAATTTGCTTTTCACCTTATGGTCTCAGTGCCTTCTTAGTGGTAATTTCCAAACATTGGCTTTACATAAAGAGGGCTCAGAAACAAGTATCATAATCATTCCTGACATATGAACTTTGAACTAGGGCTTTGAATACTAGGAACAGTTTCCTGCTCCTAAAATGACTATGATGGGTAAATATAATGATTGGTGTTCTGTCTTTATCAAATATAGCCCATAAGATACAAAATATGATCTTAATCCTTTCCTTCCTCAGTTAATTATTATACACATACTCTGTTTTGGAGAAAGCAGAAGCATAGAGAGATTAAAATAACTTGACTATGAACACAGTCATTAATTATGAGAAGCAGAACTTTGTGTTTCACTGTTATGCCCATAGTGCCTGGCTCACTGAACACATACAAATGGAATACTATTGGTTAAAAAAAAAAAAAAATGAAATAGAAAGGCAAGGTGCTCATAGTCTCAAGGAAAACCTTGTAATCCCTTCCTCCACAAACATGCAGGAGTTTCTCATGGACTTGATGTCTCAACCTCACTAGCCTAGCAAGTGTGGCCTTTATTCTAGAGTGTGGTCTGTTTGTTGTTATATAAAAATAATGCTTGTAACTATTCTGTCCATCTGCTAGTACTATCCTAGACATATACCAATTATTACAAATGAAGGAAACCATGGTATCTATGAGTCTTTGGGTCTGGCTTACTTCACTTAATATGATTTTTTCCAAGTCTTTCCATTTCCTTACAAATGGGGCAATGTCATTCTTTCTGATAGAAGCACAGAATTCCATTGTGTATATATATATCACATACAACCATATAAGTGATGCTAAGTGAAATGAACTCCAATACATGGAAACAAGAGGTTTTTCTTTGTTGTTGTTGTTGTTTTCAATGTACTATGTGATTTCTTTGTTCTTTTGTGGGTTTTTCCCCCTATGGTTTGTCCACTGTAGTCACTGTATTTGATCTCCGTACCCTGAGTGTTGTATATGTTTGTCTGAATTAGGGAAGGGAAGGGGAATAACAAAGTGGTGAGACAAAGGACAAAGGGCAAACCAAGGCAACAGCGACACTCACAAGCCACTATATTGGAAATGAATTGTACAACTTGGAGGGGGTTGGGGGAAGGAAAGTGGGAGAAAACTGCTGGAGGGGGTAACAAGTTTGACAATGCTGTACTCACTATCTTATGTATGTAACTGTAATCCCTCTGTACACCACCTTAACAATAAAATTAACTTTAAAAAAAATGCCTGTGAAACACTTTTACGGGCATCTCAAGAAAACTCTGTGGTCTGAGTCTGTGTTCTTTCTGGGTATTTGTGTTTCAGCTTCACAAACACAGCAGGCCTATGGAGTTCCATAGGCCTAGCTACTTGGCTGCACTTGGAAATCTCTTCCCTACAGGAGCCCCTGACTGACTAGCCCCTTATTCCATTGCTCCAGTCAACCAACACAATTACTTGCCATCACAGCGTCTGTCACACTTCAAGCTATTTTCCACCTCTTGGGCTTTCATAATTAATTAGGCCCTTAAGAACCTTGAGAGGACAAAGTCATCCTTCCAAACCCTACACAGTTAGGATGTTTTAGAAAGACAGATAATTAGTGATGCCTTCCCAGTTTTCTGCCGACAGCAAGGCTTTGTTTATGTCTCTCCTACTGGATTGGACTGTCTCTTTACATCCCCAGGGCCAAACACAGACTTTGTCACCCAGATCATCTCTGGTTTTTGGAAAACGGATCTGGAAATCTGTGGTTTATTGGATCACTTTAGGTAATCAACTACTGCAAGAGGAGAAGACAATACAGTTAGGATAACGAAATGTCCCCCCCCCCCCCACACACCTCCACCTCTGCCCCCACCCACACCCCAGCACTGAGCACATCTCAGATTCCATTTTCTTTCCTGAAAGAACTTCAGATTGCCTATCCCCAGCTGCTGGAGTCCAAAAAGTTAGGAGTCAGGGAAATTGGCCAAGTCACTCACCAACTAGTGGAAGGCGGGTATCTGCTCTCCAGCGTTTTGGTCCAGGGCTTGTACCAACTGATCTGCTCAGCAGCTTTCCCCCAGAACTTCTCTGGGTCGGCCACCGAGGCTGCAAAGTGGGTCTTGTACTCGTTGCCGCCGCCCGAGGACAGCGCCCGGCAGCTGCGCCCCCCAAGGCTGCCCCAGGGGCCCGAGGCCACTAAAGCCCTGCGGGCCACCCCAGCTCCCCGGGACGAAGGGGTTGAGGGCAGGGGTCCCCCTAGAGTCCCCACACCCGTGACTTTGCGACATTGTAGCCAGGATGGCTTCATCGCTCCGGGTGCCCCCTCCCCACACCCGCGGTGCAGACCTGGTTCCAAGGACGCCCTAAAGGCAACAACTGGAACCCGGGTGACCAGGGCCCTAGGGGAGCAATCAGGAGGCGGGGACAAATTCTGAGGTAAGCCCCAGAGCCTAGAAGTTTGTAAGCCTCACTAGAGGCGCTGGGAAAAACCGACCTGGAGCCACCCGGAAAGCAACAGGCTCCAGTGGGGCCTGGGGGAGCCGGCGCGCGTCCCAGCGCTCTGTGCTGGAATCCAGCTGCAAGGCCAGAATAAAAGGGAGCTCGCACCAGCACTTCCAGCTCCCTGGCTTCAGCGGGAAACTCCCCTGCAGGAAGCCCTCCTTGCTCAGTCACAGAAGTCGGCCTAAGACAACGACAAGGCACTCAACTCACGGTCCACTCTAAAAGAAGTTGCGCCCTCCCTGCCCCTGGCTTAGTTAATCACTCCCCTCTGGCTCGGGTGGAATTCAGCAACCCCGGGCATTTCATTCGGGAGGAAGCCCCCTGCGATCGTTAGTTTTATTTACTTGTTTATTGAAAGTTCAACTCAATCTTTTGTTGAAAACAACACCACCAACGACAAACAACAACAAACTATCTGCTCCAGGGCAAAGCAATGCTCCAGGATTTCGGGCAGCTGAGTGGTAAGAGTGGAAGGCGGGGCTTCCATGGTGATCGACAGGCCCTGGGGCTGGGAAGGTAACATCACGGGGAGGTGGAGTTGGTTGCTTGCTCTGCTGGCTGAGGCAGAAAGGACTTACTGCATTTCTTCTTTTCTATTTTGCCCCACTGGAGTTTCTGTGGCCCTCTTTTCTCATGAAAATGCGAAACAAAACATGGCTACTACGGTCTTTTCTTCCCGAGGCAATAGAAAGGTTCTGTAAATGGATAGTGGTAGTGGTTACAGAAGTTTGAACAAACTAACACCATCCTGTTAACTGGGTGAATTGTGTGATATGTAAATTACATCTTCATAAAACCATTTTGAAACAAAAGGAATGAACTAAATAAAGATGAAATGAATCCGAAGAAGAAAGGAAAATTTCAGACAGAGTGGTGAGGAGTTACTACCTACGTTTAACATGCTTGAAGTTCTGTTGTTTCTCACATATTAACGTATTTCAGAATGCAATCATATGCCTTAATATTCTACCCAACACATTCTGTCTTGGTATAACAATATTTCCAATTTTAATTGTAAAGATCTGCATTCCTAAATCTTAGGTGAGAAATAGTGAAATAACCTGACCATAGCAAAATATTATAACTTAAAAATCTGTAAGCAAATGATCCCTCAGAAAGAAAATAATGTGAAGATAGACACTAACAGAACAGACATAAATCTAAGGCAAAACAGGAACAAGTATTCTGTAAATAAACATCGGGGCTATTCTCCATCTGAAAGCAGAGAAAGTACCCTGTTCCCTAATGTCTATAATATAGTTACTTCATTCCTGCCAGAGTTCTCCAATCAAATAATGCCTGGTAGGTAAAGTCATGGTTACTACTTACAGCAAAAGCCACCTAACACTTGGTCCCCTCCTTCTTTCTTCATAATGCTGGTCTCTGACAAAGTTCAACAGACCCCAGTGTTGCACAGATTAGTCAGTCATTTAACAGATCTGCAAATGCTCATGTAATGTGAAGTATGGTTTATTACAAGAGATAAAGGAAGGAAACAGACAGCTGTCTGTGCCTAGAAAATGCACACTTTGCACTCAGCAATTTTTAAAATAAATCAGTTTCTCTGATTCTTATAAAAGTGCCCAGAAGTGGGAATTATAATCCCCATGTTTACATCTCTTTATATTTGTTTACATTTTTCTCAGTAGCTCTTTTGAGAGTTTAGAGATAACATTAACATGTTCCAGGCCCAGTAGCTCCCAAACAAAACAGAAAATACTCAAACTTTGTTGGTACTCAGAGCTTTGGAGCCAGAATGCTTTGAACTCCAGGTGAACACAATACTGATTACCTTTAAGGTAGATGACTTAGAAACAGTCTATTCCAGCTCTGTCCCTCCAGAGTCATATATAAATGTTGCCACAACTTAAATAAGTTAAGGAATCTGACTCCAAAAACCATAATTTTCACATGCCTGGCTAATTATTTTCATATATAAACAAACAAAATATGATGGACTTTTGCATCTCATTCTCTTTTCTTGAGAAATCCACACAAAAGAAAATGAGAATTGTAGGTTATATTTAACTGCTTGTGAAGAAGAAGAAGATGGATTTCCTCCTTGGAATCTGGAAGGTCTTAGAATTTGTTGACCATGGATTCCTCTGGATGTATGAAATGAAGATAAGAGCTTACAAAGTAAAATATTGATTATTTAATATATAAAGCAAAGGAAGATCCCTAAGTTGCCAAGTGAAATCATTTCCTCCAAAGCCATCACAAATCAATATGAGGGTTGTTTTTTTTTTAAATCACTGATTGCATTGAATGTGAGCTTCATTAAAATGACCTTCAAATAAGGCAAAAGAGAGAGCTTGAGTGAACCCACTGCCCATTCAAGGCAAGGAGTTCTATGATTAAAGAGTGTAGTTTACAAGCAGCCAAGACAAGGCAGTAAGACTAGAAAATTGTTGGAGCCAGCCAGATTTGGGAGTGTGAAATAGTGCCCAACATCAGTCCAGACTTTAAAGGAAACCATTGCCATTCAAATTAAGATCTAAAGGCCTGTTGACTAATCAATAAGTAAATGAAAAGTTTACAATCACTAGCCACTGCTAGTCTATTTGGTTCTTAGTACTAAGAGAAAAACTTCCTTTTCTATCTGAGTGGGTTACTTAGAAGTTCTTGCTTTGGCCCTCTGGCATGGCTCTTGTTGATTATTCTGCTAAGATAATATCAGCACATAAAAGAGCAAAAGAGGGGGCTGGAAAGTTGGCTCAGTGGTAGAGTGCTTGCCTCTCATGAATGAGACCCTGGGTTGGATTCCTCAGCACCATATAAGCAGAAAAAAAAAGCCAGAAGTGGTGCTGTGGCTCAAATGGTAGGGTGCTAGCCTTGGGCTGAAGAGTTGAGGGATAGTACCCAAGCCCACAGTTCACACCCCACAACTGACTGCTTCAAGATTAAAACACACCTCAGATGACTCAAGAAATATTAGAGGGTGTGAGTAAATTTTGAGATTACTAGTGTACTGTTCATCTTATTTCAAGGTCCTTTAAGGGTCACCATATGTAAATGTATCTTATTCAAATGACCAATAACAAGCAGACTGTGAACCAGTGGCTCTTACAATCTGAGAAGAGGGCAGGGCTTGTTGCTTTAGTAATAAGTAGGGGAGCAGCTTGCCTGCTTTAGTCTTGCTTGCCAGATTTTTGGCTGATGGTACAGCCTTCTGTAGAAGTAAATTCTACCTTGCTGAGAAAATGCTTTGTTATCCAGTGGTTCTTGGGGAGCATATTTATGACAAAATTAACAATAAAACTTGAAAGGTTTACTAACTTCCCTATGCTCTATTTTTTTTTACATCTATAACCTGAGTTTAATGATCATATTTCACAGGATTTATACAAGGTTTCAATATGAGTGAAATGTCCTGCACCTGGGCAGTTCTAAGCTGAGCTAATTCAGAACTGCAGCAAAGCCCATGAACAAACAACCCCCCTAAACCCAACGCTCAAAATCTTTATCTACATGCCAAAAAGTTCACAATCAGAATATTTCAGAAGAAATTTTTAATGTAACCATGCATGTAATGATTATACTATTTTAAAATATATTTAATTTGAAAAGTAGGGTACTCAGAATCTTTTCAATGTCTAAGTCTGATTTTTTAAAAAAAGACACCTCTAGCTATGAAATAAACATTATTTCATGATACATGAGTAGTGATCCAAGTAATACATGTTTCAAGAAGACATTTAAAATATCCTAACAGAGATTCATTGATGAGACTATCAGAGAGAAACATTCAAGAAAATTGAAAAAGGAAGCCAAGGTAGATGACTAGAGGAAATGAAAACCTGTGATAACCTGTTCGGAGAATGAAGTAAGGGGTATCATTAGTCAAGGTACATTGTACTCATAAATTGACATGTTGAATTGACATCTCTGTAAAATCTTTTTAAAAATAAAGAAAGTATTTTTGACTCAAAGGAAGGACGGAAGGAAGGAAGGAAGGAAGGAAGGAAGGAAGGAAGGAAGGAAGGAAGGAAGGAAGGAAGGAAGGAAGGAAGGAAGGAAGGAAGGAAGGAAAGAAGAAAGGAGGAAGGAAGGAAGGTGTAAGGTCCGCCCCTGGATGGCGAGCAGACTCCACCCTCCTCCCAGCAAAGTCTCCACCGAGTACCTGCATTACCTAGGCAACTGGCACACCTGGAAGAGGTCACATCTGCATCCACTAAATTTGATATGGCCACACCTTTTTCTGCCCATACCCTAGATAAGGCCTAGACCAGGCCCAGAGGCTCTCTCTCTTTCCCAGATCTCTTTCCCAGATCTCTTTCCCAGCTCTCTCTTCTCTTTTCTAGCTCTTTTCTAGCTCTTTCTCAGCTCTTTCCCACCTCTTTCCGAGGTCTTTCCCAGGCCTTTCCCAGCCGCAAGGAGGGCCAACATGGCCTGGTGCCAGCCAGAACGATGAATAAACTTACCCCTTATCTGAATACCATGTGCGTGGTGCTGTTCTTCTTCTGCTACCTCTTTTTAAAAACCTAACAAAAGGAAGGAAGGAAGGAAGGAAGGAAGGAAGGAAGGAAGGAAGGAAGGAAGGAAGGAAGGAAGGGAGGGAGGGAGGGAAGGAGGGAGGGAGGGAGGGAAAGAAAAGAAAGGGTAGAAAGGAAGGAAAGAAGGAAAGAAGGAAGGAAGGAAGAGAAAGAAAGAGAGAGAGAGAGAGAGAAAGAAAGACAGAAAGAAAGAAAGAAAGAAAAAGAAAGAAAGAAAGAAAGAAAGAAAGAAAGAAAGAAAGAAAGAAAGAAAGAAAGGAAGGAAGAAAGAAAGGAAGGAAGAAAGGAAGGAAAAGAAAGAAAGAAAGAGGATGGGGACTAACAGGAGTCAGATACTTAATGTGTAAGGAGAAGATGTTGAAAAAATAAGAACCAAGCAGAGAAATCAGCATGAAAGGGAAACACGAAACTGGATCCTGTCATGTATTTTTTAAATTTTATTTTATTGTAAAGGCATTGTACAGAAGAGTTACAGTTACATAAGTAAGGTAATGAGTACATTTCTTGTCAAACAATGTTACCTCCGCTCTCATTTTTCTCCTACTTTCCTTCCCCTGAATCCCCTCCCTCCAAGTTGTAAAGTT